AGGTGCCGGATCACTTTCCTTCAGGCAGCCCGGCTGCCCGTCAGATGCCGATATTTCCAGAGAGTGGAGGTGGTGAATGCCATCGAGACTATTGTTCTATTGAAGTGGACGCTTATTCTAAAAGCCGCCATCTGTCTGATTCAGAGTGAACTCCCCTAATGGGCATGCTGCATATTGTGTAGCAACCCTTTCCTGAAACGAGTTATCTGACAAGGAGCATGAAAGCCCTGCTTCATGGCATTGGAAACTTCATCAGCCAGCCGAGCGAGGTCTCATTTTGGAACCCTCAACTGGCTTGGGAGCCGTAAACACGGTATGTGGCAAGCGTCCCAACTACAGCACTCTCGGCACAGGAGGCCCACTGTCCACCAGGAGGGCTGCAAAAGCAGATGGCAGGTGAGGTAGCCCCTGTCACTCGGAATAGCAGTGGCCATAGGACCAAGGGTCTGCTTGACAGATCTGACTGAGCCCACAAAAAGATTATAGGAGGAGGAGGAAGAGGAGGAGGAGGAGGAGGAGGAAGAAGAGGAGGAGGAGGGTGCTTTCCAAACACAGCCCTACTGTGTTCACTTCTGTTTTGTTCTGATCACATAATGGTATTTTTCAGCCTTCTATGTACTTCTGCCACAGAGTTCCAACTGTTTGATTGGTTAGCCAAGAGAATCTCAAACAAGAACTCCTTTATATTGATTCTCAACTGGATTTACTGAAGAAAAAAAAAAAAGCCCCACAGGCAAATTTGTTCCAGCAATGCCCCAAATCCTCAGCTTAATTAGAAATTGTATTTCCTTGAGCATTACTGAACAAAATTCAGAAGTAACTGTGCACATTGCTATGTCCAGTTAAGTCTTCTTTGAGAGTGTCCTAACTGATCCGACTTGAAGGCCTCTGCTTGTCAGTCCCTCTCTGAGGGGATGGAATGCCCAGCACTGCTCCTCTGGCCCTCTTCTTCATGTGTCACCACATGCAACTCTGGTTATGTGTGGTAGATACAAAAAGCAAATCCCCCTAGTTCCCATTACAGACAGTCTGAACTATGGGACATACTCTTTGTTTATAGGATGTCACTCTGTCACCCAGGGAATGAGTGGCATTGAGCAGAATGGAGCTTTGCAACATTCTACTTAACAACTGCAATCCAAATATGGTGACACCTCACCACCTATCATTAACTGGTTCTAGCAGGCACCATGAGTATTGAACAAACTGTTCTGGCTTAGAAAAGGAAGAGTTCCAAGGCCATTGATCCAACATGTTCTAGCCTACATTTCAGGTAACAAACAAATGACAATTACTGGGACAAAATTTTTGCATCAAAATGGTTGTGTCAAACTTGGTGAGTTTCAAAGCAGCTGAGTACCAAGGTGGGACGTATTAACAACAAAACAGGGATAAGGGCTGCCCTTGCAGAATGGCCTAGATTGCCAAAAAAATTTCCCTTCCTTTGCCGGCACTCTGTCTGTACCTAGTCCTGCAAGAGAACAGTAACAGCAGCTCTTTCTCAGGCTTTTGGTTCCTTTTTACTAAGCTGATACACACAGACTAAGGGACAACTTCCTTGCTTAATAAGGATGCTGATGACCGGTCCACTGGGCCTGCCAAGGGATATACTGCTAGGCTTCACAATGGGGACAGACTCTGAGGGTCCAGTGGGGTCTAGGGGGCAGGTGGGGCTTCACCCTTCTGTGGACTGCACTTTTAGGGAAGCTGGTTATTCTGGGGCCACTCTTTGCTGCTGGGCTGAACTTGCTTTGGATGCTGAAAGCAAGCAACAGTTCCAGGAGAAACACTCAGGAATCCTAGGAGAACTTTTCTTGTTGTGTCACCCCCTTGGCAGCTGACTACTTCTGTGACAGTCATAACCCAGGGGGACAGTGGACTGTAGGTGACCTGGGGTCTCCTTCTTCACTCGGCACTGAATGGCAGTGCAAAGAGCCAGCAGGACCTGAGTGCATGAGGAGTAGAGGACACAGAGGAAACTGGCTCTGTGCAGTGCTTCCACTCATGCAATAAGTACAAAATACACCAGCACAGTGAGCTATAGAGGGGAGATCGTGTTGCTTCTGGGATTCCATATATGAGTTAGAAGTTCTTAGATTTATACATTAAGCTGGCAGTATGCAATCTAAGAAGAATGATAAAATTACTCAAAAATTTAAATATTCTTTTCTTAGAGTGACAGCAAATACAAAAACACTTCTGAGACAAGCCAGGTGCATGTAGAGAACAGGAAGCACTTCCTGTCCAGCCCCTCTAGCAGCAGCCCTACTATGGGCAAGCGCACTGTGTCCTCACCAGTACTAGACTGTGGTGAGGCCTTGGGGTAATCCAGCTGTGCCCAAGGTTCCCAGCCTCTGCATGCCCTCACCCCACTGGACCTTTATCAGGTGGCCCTGGCTGCTCACCCCAGAGTGCTCTGCTAGAATGAGAATTGGGAGGTGTGCAGGAGGAGGAGGAAGAGTCAGGAGGCTTCCTTGGGGCCCACCCAGAGCACCACCTCGCCTGAGCTGGGTCCATCTCAGGCACCTGACGCACTTGGGCTGGTTTCCAACCTCTCCAACATACTTGCTCACCATTCCAGAACACCAGTCCTGTGCTCACTGCTGGGATGTCACCTCCATCCCTGAAGGACAGCTTCTCTCTAGCGTCTGACCTCTCCTCAAATGCTCTCCTCAGAGAGACCTTTGCTCTGACCTTTGAGGGTAAATGGAAAGTTCTCCCCAACTTTGCATTTTCTCTCTTCACAGAACAATTCCCTTGTCTTCTGTGCAGAGTCTGAGGTCTAGCACCTGACCTCCCTCTCCCTGCTCCTTGTACCTACCTGACCTGGCAGACAGTCCATAGGAACTATGTTTAGGAAACCCATGCTGTAATCAGACACCCAAAATCAGGGTTTGATGCTTTCAATGTTAAACCTGAATGCATCGATGAAACAGCAATTCTGAACATAAGCCAAGACAGGATCAACCAGGCCGGAGCATGGTGGGCCTTGATGTTTGAAGGAGACACCAAAGGACCAACTAATTAGGAATAGCTAGCTGGGGACATGTGTGGAGCTTTAAAGATCAGCATACTTTTTTAAAGAACAAAAACAGAAAAAACTTTTTTTCTCCTTAGTTCTTCTGAGGACAGAAATCAAAGAAGAGAGCAGTTAAATGGTTGCAGTTTTCCCCATTAATTGTATCTCTCTAAAAATCAAGCATAACAGTTTATTTCTTATTTTAAGTAATTTATTTCAATAGCAATAATCAAATTTACTCAAAGCATTAGAGAAGAATATTTTATAATGACAAGCATTTTAGGTCTTGTAACTTGGTTCCTTTTCTAACTTCTGCACCAAGTTGTCCACTGAGATGCCAAGAGAACTATTTTATGAGTTATTTTCGAGTACAGCATGTACTATCCCATGTTAATGCCAGTAGCCCTAGCTGGGATGCTTATCAGTCCTGATGGGGTTGTTGGGAAAGTTTTTCAAGTAATGCTGAATACCATACTTGGAACTTTAGAAACGATTTTAAAATAAGGTTTTTCCGAAACCCCACTACTCCAGTGCTATCATGAATTCTTGCTGGAGAAAGCAGTTTTAAAAAGAATAATACACCACCTATCTCATAATGAGAAGTCTGGCAAGCAGAGAAGGGGACATGATGAAATCAATAGGATATTTTTATTTGCAAATGAATTTGTGCTTAGGTCCATCAGCGATGACGAGAGTCCTCCACACCCTAGCTGATAAGCAAGCTTCTGAAGAGATCTTGCTCTAACATTTCAGGTCAAAATTTTGTGCTGTGGCTGAACTGACACCAGCCCTGAGATGAGGCCTGGAGTGCTGTGGCAGCCACTGCACAGACCCTGTCCCCACATTCACCACGGCCTGGACAAAGCAGGAGAGAGCGCTGCAGGGAACACGGCTGCCTGGCCCCCGGGGAGGGACCAGATGGGACCTAATAGCTCTTTTCTACCACTAATTTCTATGATAATTCTCAGTTGCCACATGGCATATGTATTTTTTTAATCTAAAGGCAGAATCACTCAATGAAGTGACCAGGGTTTTAATGAAAGGTATTTTTCACAAACTGTATCTACTCACGTGTGCCATTTCTCATCCGCCCTCTGCCCGCTAGCAACCCATCGCTTACAATTAGGCCAGGAGAAGTCTACAGAGAGGTCAAATACAATGTGTTTTTTATCATTTTCAGTACCAATTAGGAACAAAGAGACTAAGTTTTATTAGTAGGTCAGATTTGTTTGTAGCAATTTTATGAAGTCACTCACCTCAATCTTTTTCTTATAATTAGACTTATGCTTGGATTTAAGGATTATAGCATGCCAATTAATGTTTGAGAAAAAAATTAGAGAAGTAAAATTTCTTCTGCTCTTAGAGACAAGACAATGAACTAAAGGAAAAGATACTAATGATGTGGGACAGTTGCAAAATGACTTTTGGGAGTAGTTGTTGAGTCCAAATTCATTTCATTTGAGATGCCTCCCCTTCCTCCCAGCAGAATGGATGCCTCAGCTCCTTCCTCTGACTTCTGGAACTCTTTCTGCCCTTCTCAGGTGGTACCTGCCACACTCTTTGATTTATGACAGTCAGTTCATTTGCCTTTGGCTGCAGGGAGGCACTCTGAATTAGCCCACTTCATTGGTTTGGCATCTGCCTCACACACAGTGGACTGCAACACCCAGTGAGGATGAGACCAGCCTGAGCTCAGAGAGAAATGCCTAAGGAGCCAGGAGCATGCACTGAGGGTCACAGTTTCTCTGATGACACCACGTCTGGGAGGAAAGCATGAGCACAAACTCTTCCTAATTTGATACAGCACAAACTGATTGTTTAGTACAGTTTTAACAAGTGCTATGGAAATCAACACTGTTACTGTTACTGTCAACACTGACTGATGAAGAGTCTCTGGGTTTTACTACTTACCCCTCCATGAACACTGCCGCAATCTGAGTGCTAGGAGGCTCAGGAGCAGCCCAAGTGAGGCAAAGGATACAAGCTCTGGTAGAGCGGGATGAGGCACTTCACGGCCCGGCTGGCGTTGATGCATGTGGCACAGATAAGGCTCGGCAGCAGCTTCCCACTCACGATGGCTCCATCAAATAGAGGTCCAAAAAATGGGACCTGGGAATTCAAAATGGGAAAGCAGTCTTTAAAAACTGTCTAGCAAGAGTCCAGCCAAAGAGGAGAACAGATGACTGACATCCGAGACCTGGAGTGGACACAGAGGCTGTCACCCACGGGCTGACCCTGGCTGTCAGGGGACACAGATCAAGTAGCAGGATTGCTCCAGAAGCCCCTGTGCCAGGAGCTCTCCAGCAAAACTCTGCGTAGCGAAGTATCACTGAGGGTCTTTGTTTCTTACGTGTTGTCACTTCTAGAAGTTCATGGCCCCAAGTGCCTACATCACATAGATTAATCAGCATGGGACACAGGTGGACTTGGTAATGTTCCTGCCGTGGATTTGATGCATGTGATCCATAAAGGAGATGCTGATCATCAGCGTCAGCAACGGCACAGTGCGACCTGCAGTCCTCCTCCTTCACTGCCCCTCTGCCACCACCACGCTGCCTTATCCCCGCTTCTTTAATGGAGAGACCTGGCTTTTCTCCACCAGACCCATGTTCACCTCAAGGGCTATCCCCAGATTCTTCAGGCCTGTCTCTGGATCTCTCTCACTCCCTGCCTCCATCAGTCTTAACATGGAGCTTCTTAGCTGCACAAGAACAGGGACTTGGTAACTCATATTCATTCATTCTTTCGCTTTTTCATCTATTCACAAAGCATTTATTACACGATAAATACTATTCTATTCACTGAACATAGCAGTGAGTGATACAAAATCCCTGGTTTCACTGAGTTTAGTGTTTATTATAAATTTCAGCTAGTAAACATTGTAAACATATACAATATATGTGGTATATATATATTAAAAGTGTTAAGGTGAAAAATAAAGCAGATAGGGCTGGGGAGATAGCTTGGTGGTCTAAGTGCCTGCCTGACAAGCACAAGGACCCAAGTTTGATCTCTGGTACCACATACAGTGCCGGCCCCCAAACCCTGGGTGTGCCTTGACAGCCACTGAAACTGGGCATGGTGGCACATGCCTGTAATCCCAGCGCTGAGGAGGCTGAGACAGGACAGTCACTGTGAGTCCGAGCTGTGTAGTGAGATCCTTTACCAAATAAATAAAAAAAGAAAAAGAAAGAAAAGAAAAGAAAAAAAGCAGACAAAAGCAACAGACTTTTATTCAGTATTTCTGAACTGGGTCAAATGGAGAGGGAAGGTGGTAAGAGAAGGGATATTTTAGTAAGGATCCACAGGAAGTGGGAATGGGCCACAGCTAGGTCACCTGACAGAAGCTCTAGGGGGAAGCAAATGTTCAGGTCCATGGGGGACAGGAATTGCATGTTGCAGCAGTAAGGAAGCCACTGTAAGAGCAAGGAGGAAAGAGGAGGGCGTGAACAATACAGGAAACAAGGAGCCTCCTGATTTCTGCTCTGAGTAGACAGAGGCCCTCTGGAGGACTTTGAGGTAGTAGGGTACCTGTCCTAATCTATATCTTAAAGGCACTATTATGGTTATTTTGTTGGGAAAATTACAAAGGGAAAACCATCTGGGGAACTAATGAACACTCCAGCAGGAGATGGAGGCAGCCTAGAAGGGAATGAAGGTAGGCATGGGTGAGGTGGTGGTCTTCTAGACATACTGCTTATGAATGTAGGGCTAACAGGGTTTGTTGAAGAAGGCTGATGAGGTGAGGTGGGGTGGGGGAGAGAAAGAGAAAGACAGACAGACAGACAGACAGACAGACAGACAGACAGATCAGCCAGAGGCTGCGGCTGCCTTTCTCTGATATGAAGAGGCTGGAAGGGGCCTTCTGAGCTCACTCTGTGACATGCTAACTGAGACAGCCCTTTAGACATTGCTGTGATGGACTGAGGAATCTGTGGGTAAACTAGGCTAGAAGTGGAGGCCTCATGTAGGCATATACATGGAAGGGTTGTTCATCTGCTGATGAGATTTCTAGCCACAAGACTGTACGTTGCCTGCAAAGAGCAAGAAAAGAGGCTGGCCAAATTGCCAAATAGCTCAGCGGATTAAGGCTCCTGCAAGCAGGCATAGGGGCCTGGGGTTTGATCCTAGGGCACTCTGAGACTGGCGAATGAGAATGGGTGTGGTGGTGTGCACCTATAATCTCAGCACTTGGAAAGCTGTAAACAGGAGAATTACTACAAGTCCAATCTAGTAGTGAGACCCTGAATACCCTGTAGACCCTTCCCTAAAATATAGGAAAAAGCAAAAGCAGAGCTCAAGGACTGTGTCCTGTGACCTCTTCATTTGGGAGGTGGAGTGGGTGTTCCAGGGAGCAGCAATGTTCCTAGCACTAGCTGGAATGCAAGCATCTGCTGAGCGAGCCAAAGTCATTAATATTTCACATACTTTAAATTAATGAATGCACATTTCCAGCCTAGCTCTTTGCCCTTCTCCCAATAACCATTTGTAAAGCACCTTTTTTGTGGTTGGCATTGGGGGAGGGGTCTGGGACACAATGGTGAGGGAAGGACAGTCTTTGCCTATTAGGAATCTTTGCCCATGTTTCTTTCCATTAAGAACAGATCTGATAAGAAAACAGAACACTAATATTCCTTAACAAAAACACAAAAGCCGTTTACTAACTGAAGGCGTATTAAATTTGGCAACGTACAAAAGGATAATAAATATTTTTTTTTCTTTTAGGATAATATATCTTGATCAAATAGGGCTGGCTCTAAAAACTCAAGTTGATTTAACATGTTCCCTTGGGCTTCAACTACCAGCAGTACACATATGACTATCCCATGTATTACTGTGTGCTGCCTGATGGGACATTCATGCATGTGTCACCAGTGGTTCAAGTCGCCTAGCAGTGACACATATGAATTATGGCTATATTGTGAATGTGTTAATATTCATGAATTCATTGATCAATTTATCACATTAATAGAATAAAAGAAAAAAATCTATATGACCTTCTTAATAAATTCAGAAGTACTGCATCAAATTTTATCCTTATTCATGATTAAACAAATAAATAAAATGGAGAAAGCATTCCCAGCAAACTGGAATACCAGGGAACTGTCTCAATTTAATAATATCTAAAAGGAAAAAATAATTAATGATGAAATAGTAAATGTTTCCTTCCAAAGATCTGAAGAGGCAAAGATGTCTACATTCACCTCTTCTAGTCAATATATATATATATATTTTTCTTTTTTCTTTCTTTCTTTTTTTTTTTTTTTTTTTGAGGTACTAGGGATTGAACTCAGGACCTTGCACTTGCCAGGCAAGCACTTATTCTACTGAGCTATCTCCCTAGTCCTTGTAGTCAATATTTTTTAAGATCATGTTTATCTCAGTAAAGAAAAATAAGAGAAAGAAAGAAACAAAAGGAAACATAAAGGTGAGAATGAAATAAAATAATTTTGATTTGTAGATAATATGAATTTTGTCCTAAAAAATCTGAAGGGATTTATCTATAGTAAGAAAATTATTAAATTACAAGATATAATTGCCCCTCAAAGCAGCCATACTACACTTAGATATAATATTGTATATAACTTATTTATATATTAATTGCAGTTATTATATCTATATATTGTAAAATTTATATTTATATTTCTGGTATTAGCAGCTAACAATTGAAAAATGGCATTTTAACAAATTTATAATTGCATCAAACATTTAAAATTAGACAAAAGATGTACAAGACATCTATACTCAAAGCTACAATTCAGTATTGAGAGAAATAAAAAAACAACCTAAATAAGTCAAGTGTGGTAGTGCATATCTATAATCCCAATAATCTGAGAAGTTGAGGTGGGAGGAACCCAAATTTGAGCCTAGCGTAGGTAATTTAACAACTTAGTGAAAACTTTCTCAAAAAAAATTTCTTTAAAGGGGTAGGGATCTAACTCAGTGTGAAAGCCTGGGTTCAATCCTTAGAAATATAAAAGAAAATTTTAAAAAAGACAAATAAATGCAAAGATGTACACCCTTCCTAAACTGGAAGCTTTGATGTTATTAAGATGAACAACTGGGATGAGGCAAAAGAGAAAGGAAAGAATGAAGAGAAATCTATATATATGATAGCTTGGATAACTGTACTGCTGATTTATGCTGGTTTATTCAAAACAGTAGTGACTGCTTAATTTTTTTTCTCTCTCTCCTTTTTAATTTTCCATAACATTTCTGATCAATTTTACACATGTATATCTGGAATTTCTGAGCAACTAATTTGAAGACAACAATATGTAGTACAACAACCATTGCTGAATTCCTATTATTTTTTTTAGAGAAATTTTGCATTGTTTATAATGTTTTTTAAAAACTTTTTTATTCCCCTTTTTAAGAAAAGCAATACAGAAAAGAGTATAATAGATAGCGGGAGGTAAAATGTGTTTGAAAAGTATTTATTTTGGATTATAAGTTTTGTACAGATAGGTGCCTTGTGAACACATTCCAATTCCCTCTAATAAATACACTCTATTTTTGTTTGTTTGTTTGTTTTTTGCAGTACCGGGGATTGAACTCAGGACCTTGTGCTTGCCAGGCAGGTGCTTATGCTGCTGAGGTATATCCCCAGCCCTAATACACTCTTTAAAAAAGATGTCAACTCTTCTGAAATTGAGCTACAGATTCAAACACAAATCCAAGTAAGAAAGATTCTAAGAGGCTAAAAATAGATATGGAGCAAGTAACTAAATTCATATGAAAAAGACATAAAATGGCTACTTACATTACCTACCTTCATGGCTCACCATCAAGAGAGACACCAGGATAGGCAAACACATAGATGGAGCTGAGCAGAGACAGAGCAGAGAGCCATACACATGCTAAGTGATCTTGGAAAAGGGCAGTTTATGGATTCAAGGGAAGAGGGAATTCTGTCTCGGTAAAAGACCCAGGGGCCACACCTTGCCTTCACTTAACCACACACCAACCCAACAGGGTCAAAAGCCTGAAATAGTCCAGCTAAAATCGCACAGCTTCTGCAGGAAGCCACAAGAACATCCTCAGAGCCTTAGGATAGTTAAGAGCAACTGAGGATGGGCTTACTGCTTGGCATTGGCCCTTGAGTCAGG